CTATCTATCTATCTATCTATCTATCTATCTATCTATCTATCTATCTATCTATCTATCTATCTATCTATCTATCTATCTATCTATCTATCTATCTATCTATCTATCTATCTATCTATCTATCTATCTATCTATCTATCTATCTATCTATCTATCTATCTATCTATCTATCTATCTATCTATCTATCTATCTATCTATCTATCTATCTATCTATCTATCTATCTATCTATCTATCTATCTATCTATCTATCTATCTATCTATCTATCTATCTATCTATCTATCTATCTATCTATCTATCTATCTATCTATCTATCTATCTATCTATCTATCTATCTATCTATCTATCTATCTATCTATCTATCTATCTATCTATCTATCTATCTATCTATCTATCTATCTATCTATCTATCTATCTATCTATCTATCTATCTATCTATCTATCTATCTATCTATCTATCTATCTATCTATCTATCTATCTATCTATCTATCTATATATATATATATATATATATATATATATATATATATATATATATATATATATATCAAATGGATGCATTCAAATCGCTACTTATGTGCAACGGAACCATCAAGCCAACAATTACACTGTCAACTGCAGGGTTTCACATAAGTCTAATAAGCCGGCTAGTAAGGCTTCGCGTACGACTGTTCCAATCAAATAAGTCGATTAGTATGTTAAGATAACTTAGATGTAGTGTTTACTTCGGAAATGAGAAAACTGTCACGTTAGATGATAGGAATTTTAGATACATTAGTGTTTCCTGTCTAATTTCACTTTTCCATCCATGAAGCACACCTGTCAAGTCAACATAACTTAATAAAGGCAAGTGGTGCTTACATAATAGTATGCCAAAGACAAAGTAGTGACTAGTTACTATTTGTTTATCTCAGTTAGTTATACCTAGTTAGAAATTGGGCAGAAATATAGTCTCGTTTCATGTAATTTGGCAAAAGTTTACAATATTTCATTGCTCACAACAATCATTTCTTTAAGCTTGATAACTGCCTGGAGTTATTTTAAGTTTCATGCGAAGCTGCGCTTTAGAGATTGACACATCTGAATCTCAGTGATTTGGTCGTGGATAGAGTTCACTTTCATGCGAGTAAGTTACTCACATATTTTCATTACCATTGAAACAATAAGTGCAGCTTACGAAAAACTCATTCATCATTTTGTACATTACCAATGACTTGAGTTCTGCTATGTCATACAAGGTTTTTTTAATTGAAACTTTTTGAAGAATCTTCATTTCACCAACAGAAGACAAACAGTGAGCAAGGAAATATTGTCAAGTTTTTCAAATAAGTTTGTAAGGCAAAATACAATCAAATAGGTTATACAAAAACGCAAATGGAATTGCTGCCAACCAAAGTAACATTCGATAATCTGTTGCAATAATGCCACACTTGAAAACAACACCAGAATTACACATTAACTAGATCAGTTTATGCAATAAGCAGCAACAAGGAAAAGATAAGCAAGAATAAACATGGAAACGATCATGCTGATTAACGAACAAATAAACAGCATGCTGCTGTGGGAAGGTGGATACAATTAAACAAGCCTGTAGATGCATCGTTTACACAACACACAATTAGCAACACACTGATCTTTACTTAGAAAGTAATCAAAAAATATTCGTCCCCCGAAAGCAAACTGATCACTCAGAAAAAACAAACCATCATAATCAATACATTGCAAAAACAAACAAACAAACACACACATGATACCGTTGTCTCATCATTGATGACATTCTCCTGTACTGCTAGAGATTAATGTGGAGAAAAGAGTAATGCATAAAGTATACGGTGCATGAGTATACTACTGCATATCAAAGCAGTAAGAAAGTAATTAGGCTATTTTAACACAGGGGTTGACACCATAGGAACTAAAAAACTTTTTATCACCAACTGAGTCTAAAAAATTGAGATCAATTAGCAACTGTTTACAAAAATAAGGCCTGCAAACGCAGAGGGGCTGGAAACAGGTAGGTAGAATTAATTCTTAAGTCTCTCCAATCAATTCTCCTTCTTCCCACTAAGAAAACAAATAGTACCTTCCTTTTTACCTAAGGATACAATGTACAAGAGATTATTTTTCAAATGGTTAGCTAGTAACCTGTTCGGTAGCTTTCTTATTTGGTGCCAGCACAACCAATGACAATGTCGCAAGCAATTAGTAGTAGTAGTGGTAAAGATATGAAGAAAAATGGGGGGTGGATGAGTGAGGTAAATTATCTTCGTGAGATCAATGAATAGGATGAAAAAGAGATCAAAAACAAACTTGGTCATATGTAGAGTGCTTAAAGAAGTTTGAACGCACTGACCATAGGACCTCTTTTAAGTAGTTCAACCAACGTCCATACCACGCAGTCTAAAGGCACTTCTTTCTGTTTCATGAATGTGTGGGTGAACACAACTAAGGAGTTCAGTATCACGGTTGATTATATTAAATAAATCGCAATAGGAACTAATTTATGGACTCGTTTTTGATTCAGACTAATAGCACCAACTGGAATACAGAAAAGAATCCAAGACAGAGGTTTTTTAGTGACCTGGATTGCATAGCAGTAAATTTGTGCATATATGCCAGGTTACGGGACAAAAGTTATCTACCAAGGCTTGAATAGTAAGGTACTATAATAAGCCCTCATACACAATGTGCGGCATATTGCTTAGTTCACGAATCTGAACACGGTTGCTGAGTTACAATTATTGTACATTAGTTTTAATTAAAATTATAGGACCAGATTCTGCTGACAAAAGGTTTAGAATGATTGAAATACGATAGTTGAGAGAGTTTATAAAAATGCTTACAGAAACCCAGATGATATTTGAATGTGTGGCAATCAGTCATCGAGATAACATAATTCAGATTATACAATACATATCAAGAAGTATACTTAAAGATATAGAAACAGTATAAATCCGCATTATCCAAATTAGTATGGGACAGAGATGAAACGAAAAGAGTGGAAATGAAAAAAAATTAGATGAGATTACTAACAGCGGTTAGTAAAGCCAGGTGATCAGAATAAGATGAAGAATATTAGAAAAGCCTCCTTTGTAGGCTGTGTAATGATTTTAATTAATGAACATGTCACTGGAGTCAATTATACATCACCAAACAATTAAACATGTTTATACATACATGTAAAATGTCATATCTATAGGAGATTTCTAGTGTGATGAAAATGAATATCAATTGACATATACTCTGTTTTCTGCAAAGGACGCCTTCTTACAACTACATAGCCTCAGCAATCAACAGAGTTTAGGAATATAGTTGCATAAAATTCGGTTCATTATGAGATTTGCTAGTTGATACAGCTGACAACAGTAAAACTTGTGAGGTGACATGGAAACAGTATTTATATTCAGTATAGGTTATTCGTTCACAATCATCCAAACCGAACGAATGGGTGGATTAGAAAGTCATATTAAGTTAACCTTTTAAGTTTATAGCCCATTAAATAACATATTTGAAATACTGAAGGAACTTTGTAAAACATCTCCATTCGAGTTTATGCCCTGGTTTCCCCTTTAGTGAATACTCCATTTAATCACTTGAATAAGGTACTTGCAATTAACTCTATCAGTTAAAATAACAAAATATTCATGACAAGTTTGGGTCAGATAGGTGATTACCATTATAGAATGGAGCAACATTCCTAACAACTGATGAGTAAAGGTTGTATACATCAGCAAAATGAGCAAAAGTACGAGTCTATGAATCACATAGGTTGATCTATACATGGAATAGGGACGGCTGAAGTTGAGATAGGATTCTACGCAGAAGTTTATAGCTGTTTACCAAAACAGTTCAGTAACATCAGATATCATACATTATGTGCTTGACGATGACTGTGGATTATCAAAGCCAAGCAGTCTTGATTATTTTTAGTATCACAGTAGATTTTTAGACCTTTTTAAAAGCTGGTGCTAGGGAAAAGCACATACAGCATAGTTTTTGACTATCTCAGTTAGGCTAATAAAATGTAACTTAATGGCCACGAAGTATCAGACAATATATGACGGTAAATTTACTCGTTTCTAACTTTTATACAGAAAAGTCTATGTTATCCTTATAAGTATATGTTGTGCATATAATTACTGTGATGACAGGGGATAATATGATACTGCACAACAATTACACCAAACTGAAGTAATCTTAGTCATAGTTTCTCCAAATAAGTTATCGATTGACTTTAGAGGTCATTCGGACAACTGCTGAGATAAGCAATTACAATTCTTTATTTTATGAAAAACTACGTTTCTTGCAGGAATACTGAAATCTGATTGGTTTTTTCCGCAATTGACAAGATGTCCTTCAAAGTTACCCGAAAAAATAACGTGAACTGCTACATTGTCAAACCTTGTTCAGGCCTTCGAAAACAATCCAATTGCAGTTTTATTTCAAAGTTTGGTTGGAAAACATAGAAAGTTTTAGTGTGTTTTGCGGTTGAGCCATTCAACTACATGAAAAGGTGTAAGGTAAGTTTTAGTGTACGATAAACTATCGTAAACATACTTTGTATGGCCCATTAACTTTACCATGCATCGCTACGAACATCGATGGATAGTAAACCATTCAATAAACGTAACAACAGATAAGAAATACCACACGATTACTACTGAAGCAGAGGTCGTTTGATTTAAGATGTTTAGAAGACAAATAATGGGACAAAATTTATATCAAAAGATGAGGTGAACAAAAATACTCAAGAATCTACACCGGCATACATTTGTATTTCCAGATGAGTGACGAAAAAGGTTATTTTTCGTTTTTTGAGAAATAGAAAACTTAGAATAATGAACATCACATATCCCAATACCTAACTATTTTCAAAATATCAAACCCAACGACAGCGATGTCCTTTCGCAATAGCATGTTAAGTACTTAGTAGAAAATGGTGTGCATCTGAAAAACAACGATCATATTACAGACAAAAATATTATAGAGGTTGAATTCGACTCACCGGTATAGCAGTTGAGACAAGAGTACCTTGTAACGGCGTAACCCGGTTTGCACGAAACAAATCTGCAATAATACGTTCAGCTTCTTCGATTTTCCAGCGCTGACTAGAAATCTTGGAGACTCAGGAAGAAACTAGGTTTCAAAAGATGTAATAACTACTTTTGCAAATAAAATGACTCTAGATAATGAATTCAAACAATCAAAAATCTGCAGTTCCACTTGGTTGCAGAACATTGAAAAAACAGTTGTTATTCTGATAGGAATAAGATGAATGCAAACACTATTATTGACCAAAGATAAAAGTATTGCACTAATTGTAAACATCAGTCTCTTGAACATTGCTGAATAGATTAATTTTATACGGTTTTCGCTGATCATATATACATATATAGAAGACACGCACTTTTATGGCTTGGTAGCTATAAAAATTAAACGACCATGAACAGTAAACATCATTAACGCGATTACTACGTTTGATCGTCGACGTATGAATTAGAGGAACTGGTGTACGCTGGAAATATTTATCATTCACTTAACAACAAAATTAAGATTAATATAATTTGAAAATACTAAATCCGAGACAAACAATCACTCATGTAATGCTATGGTCTTCAAAGCCTAATGACTGGTAAACTAATGTGGTGAATAACTCAAGCAACAAAACAAATTAGAGCATATCGTTTGGTGTTGGTTGTGCATACAAGGAAACAGTTGAAGCTTCGCATTTGCATTTTGAGCTTGTTTGCCCATAGTTGCTCTCTATAATATAGAGCTGAATCACATGTGGACTGACGAGACTCATAACGCTTACATTTTACTAAAATAGGTAGCTATTTGCAATTTGAAAAAAAATTATTTCGCAACCTATCACAATATTCCCTACAATGGTGCGCAAATTAGGCTGTTTATTGATTATCAAGAATGGAAATTTGACATTCATTACAAATGAATTTATTTGGGCATGCATATAGCTCTTTCACGGTTGTGAAGTAAGATACACTTTCATATCTAACTCTAAAGCCATACTGTCCAATCTCTAAAAAATCATACAACTATCAACAAAGTTTAAGTTCTTTCAAACATATTCGGAGCAAACCCACTTAGGAGTGTTCTTACGACTATAATGCAAACTGGTGAACCAAATATTTCAGAATTTACATCAACGAACAGTAGAAACCAAAATAAAATGCTTACATACCTTCAGTAGAATCAAGAAAATCATCAGTGGTAGTGCCGAAGCGAATACAAGCCATCGCCAACCAAAGTTTGGAAGAATCAGGTATGCCAAACCAACTTCAAACGTACTGCCGCAAGCCCAGAAAACCTAATCATTAATAATAGTAATTAATAACCACTAGCATAAAATGAAAAGATACAACAACGAAAAACAATGGCGAAAATAGCTATCAACAAATCGATCAAACTAATTAAAAATTAGGAATTTAAGGGGTGACAGAAAACTGCTCTTGATAATACAATGGGGTTGAAGCAAGCAGTAATCAAGTTGAATACGACAGACAAATAATAAAGAAGCATGAATTATTCTAGCTGATGGCTTGTATATACCAATAATGTATAGTCAGCATGAAGCAAAGGAATATATACTCGATTATGTAAAAGGATTTAAATCCATCAGATCCACACGGAGAACGTTGAATTAAGAGATGTCAACAACTTTAACCATGAACACAAAAGATTCAATACCTGCAGAATCGATAAAATAGAGTATTCGGTGATAAATGGAATCTGCTCTAGTATATCATACGACATACAAAATTTAAAACAAAATTAGAAACCACGCGCTGCCCAGAAATGGAGGGTGAAATGAACCAGATTAGCCTCCAGAAGCTCTCTCATACTTCTATACATTTGCGCCCTCTGACACTGAAGTCCTACTAACTGCGTTCACGTGGAGAGAATGCTTGTACAAAAGGGAAAGGGCAAAACAAAATATTCGGTGTTTATCACTGGATTGATAGATACGAATAGTCCACTTAGGTGCGTTGATAAGCTCTGATTCCGAAGTAGTGATGCATATGGGTTCAAGGATTCCAGGAGGAGGGACGGGGTAGAAACCTAATTCGCTTACCGGCAACTATGAGAAGGAGGCACCTAACATTGCCTCGTTGTCTTAGGGATCAAGCCATAAGTCAAAAGCTCGGAGAGTAGTCCATTAAGATAACAGTTTGTTACAGTGTATGTATCTGGAGAGCATCACAAACCTCATTCAGACGATGGAACAATAATTAAAATGAAAAGCTCGAAGCGCCTGTCACATTTTACTGTAAGCAATTAATCTACCTTTATTATGAAGCTTCCAAAACAAATTAGTCAATCCAGTCTTCTTGTCCTTGTTATCTTTAAACATGAACCAAATTCTAAGTTACTGTTTTCGAATTGGTTTTTGTGTGTATTAATGTTTTAGACATCTGCTTTGTCACTGATCCAAATTCTGGTTTGTCTATACCATATTTAATAGCCAACATCACCTAGTTTACCAGTTCACTGGTTACTAGCAGCTTCTAAGCCCGAATAAAGAGGGAAGGTTTGGAGTGCAGCTAGCAACCCTAACCCGTAAAACCAATCCAACTGCTAAACAAACTTCAAAGCACAAACGAAATATAAAAAATAAACTTATTCTTCGCTGGAATCACGGGGACAAAATGATGCCGGTTTGTGAAAGCCTTCGGGAAGCCAACTGGCCAATGTGACTTCTCTCTCTCCCCATGAAAGTAAAAGTAAGCATAAGGACATGGAATGTCCACACGATGTTTGAAGCTGACCAGGCCACCCAGATTGCAATAGAAATGAGAGGTTATGGGATAGAAGTGCTAGGGATCTGCGAAAGCAGGTAGGAATGGAAGTCGACTCTCCAAACTGTCAGCTACAGAGTCAATAATCTACTCCGATACTGTCACCCGGACGACAACTATGAGCACTCAGAGTTTCGAAGTGGCTATCATGATGTCCCCAAGAGCACCGAAGGCTCTCTCTCTGGTGTAGTGAGAACCAATCTCCTCCTGCAGGATCATGACAGCAAGATTCAAATCAAAAGGAAGGAAAGTTACAATGATACAATGTTGCGCTACGCACCGACAAATAATGCAAATCAAGAGAAAATCTTCAGACAGCTGCAATAAGTGACAAGACACCACCGCAGATGACGACATCAAACGTCTAGTGGGTGACATGGATGCCTAACTGGGAGCGGACAACATAGGAAGAGAACTCACCAAGGGTCGAGAAACAATCGGTGAAATGAACAAGAATGGAGAACTGTCTGCAGACTTCTGTGCATTCAACGACTTGGTGATTAGAGGCAGCGTGTGCAAACACAAGGATGTTCACAAGGCAGCGACATGGATTTGATTTCACCAGACACACTAAAATTCAGATCGACTTCATCTCAATGTGAAGAAAGTGGAGACAGCCTACTGAACAGGAGATCAGATCAAGAAGAGGAGCAGATGTAGGTTCACACCACTCACTGTCTAGTGCAAGGAACCTACTTTCCAAATCAAGTTGAAAGCCTTCAAGGAAGCTGGTGATAAACCACAGTTCAAGTTCAACAGCCAAAAACTGAAAGACAAAACTACAAAGGACATCTCCACATCAGCCATCACGACAAAATGGCAGATATCGAGCAACGCCCCTGAATAAACCTTTGTGGATGAACACTGGAAATCTTTAAAAGAGATGTGGAAAGAAACCGGCATAACAGTGTAAGGAAGGAAGAGAAAACAAGACAAGACAAGGAATGGATCTCCACGGACACATGGAAGCTGATAGAGGGAGAGGAAGATGGTGAAGCAGAAGATGAACCACTGCAGTGTAGTGCAGGGATGAACAAAGAAAACAGGAACTGAACACAACCTATAAAACACTACATTGGACAAAGTGAAGAAAAGTGCGCGCAAAGACAAAAGACACTTCTACAACACACCGACAAGTGAAACAGAACAGGCTGCTCATAGGAGAGACAGAGACCTGACAACACTATATCAAATAACCAGGCTACTATCTGGGAAGAGATCAACTCAGATGAAACCAATGAGAGATAGTGAAGGAAACTTAGTTACCAAAGAGGAGAAACAAAGGAAACGATGGGCTGACCACTTCAAAAAACTCTTGAATCGACCACCAACACAATCTACAACTCATCCAGGAACACCACCAGCAACCCAGGCACAGAACTATCAGTGAACACAAGACCTCTGACAAAAGTGGAAGTCCTGAATGCCATAAAGTCTCCGAGATGCGGGGAAGCAGTAGGACCAGATGAAATTCCTTCGGAAGCATTGAAAACAGATGCAAAGACAACAGCGGACATGCTCACACCACTACTGCAGAAGTTTTGGAAGGAAAGAAAGGTACCTTCAGACTAGAAGAAGGGCTACCTTGTCAAACTTCCAAAGAAGGGCGACCAAAGTCTTTGCAAGAACAGGAGCGGAATCATGCTCCTGTCCCTGTGCACACCAAGCAAAATATTAAGACCCATCATCCTGGGGAGATTAAAAGGTGCTCTGGTCTCAAAACTATGACCGGAACAGGCTGACTGGCTTAGGGAAGAACAAATCATGTGCAGATCAAATTGCAACGTTACGCTACACATCATCATAGAACAGAGAGTAGAATGGCAGTCAACCCCTCTAACTCAACTTCATCGATTTTGAAAAGGCTTTCGACAGTGTCGACCGAGAAATAATTTGGAAACTGCTTCAACACTACGGAGTACCACAAACCTTTACCAACCTCATTCAACAGTTATATGAAGACGCCACATGCCAAGTGATCCACAACGGAAAGCTCAGCGACGCCTTTGAAGTGAAGACAGGAGTAAGAAAAGACAACGTTTCCGCCTAATATCAGCGCTGATCTTCCCAATTGTGGTCGACTGGATCATGCAACAAACTGTGAGAAGCGAGAAGATAGGCATATGCTGGCTGGAACCATGAATAGACCCTAGAAGATTCGGGTTTCCCCGATGATGGTTTATGTCTAATGTCTTGTCGCACAAACTCAAAGATCTACAGGCGAAAACTAGCAAGTTAGCAGAAGAGGCGGGCAGTGAAGATAGGACCTCAGGTGAATGTGGAGAAGGCAGAGGTGATGAAGATACCCAATCGACAACATCAACAACAAGCACCAATCACCATGAAGGGGAGAAACCTAAAGGAAGTAGTCGCTTTCACCTACCTAGGCAAGGCAGCATCGTTTCAACTACGGGTGGCGGCACGGATGAAGATGTCAAAGCCAGGATAGGAAAAGCAAGACAGGTCTTCACCAACTTGAAGTCAGTGTGGGGATCTGCTGCAGTGCAGTGCACTCAGCATAAAGTGTGAACAAGATTCGGATTTTCAACACCAAAGTCAAGTCAGTGCTTCTATGTGATGGTTCAGAGAATTGGCGCGTCACGCAAAGCATTTCCACCAAACTCCAGAAATACATCGACAGCTGCCGCCTATGCTCACTCGATACTAAAGATCAGATGAATGGCCAGAAAGAATAAGCAACAAGGAACTCTGGGAACGAACCAACCAAGAACCTATCACTCGACAAATATGCAGAAGGAAGTGGAAATGGATTGGGCATACACTGAGAAGTCCGACTAGGGACATCAAGCGCCAGGTCCTCGAGTGGAATTCAAAGGGAAAACGACGAGTTGGGCGTCCGAGGTGAGGGTGACATGGAGGAGATTGTGTGAGGAAGAAACGAAAGCTTGTAGGCAGTTGTGGAGCCAGGTTCAAAGACTGCAGAGAACAGAGTGCAATGGTGGCATGCTGCTGAAGCCCTATTTTCCATAAAAGGAATTCAAGGGACAAATAACAAAATAATAAATATTGAATAGCTAAACAGTTGCTTTCACAAAGCTATCCGATAGTGTGACATCTGACTGTAGAACTATGTGTACCGTTTAAGCCAGCTTTCTGCAATATTTGGGTTTTGATGCGGATGAAAAACAGGAGAAATTTAACTATGACTCCGGAAAACCTAATATCAATATGTGCTGTATTTCAGAAACACGTGTGTACGATTCCAATGAAGTATTTCGAATAGCCTCTGAATTCATCAACTCAAAAGGTATGTTCACTGTAGCAAGGCATCATGTGGCATCGGTAGTCAGACTGCTGGTTTTGATTTCACACCAATTGCTAGAATTGATGCGGTGCTGGTTCATTTTGTGTGCTATTGTAGTGGGCGTTGCTGATACGAATGGATATGTGGTATATGTTGAGAGGGTGGTAGAAATCATAGGGAGTTACCAGCAATGGAGATCGTAACTTCTCGGTCAACGATTCCATATTGAAACTGACCACAAAACTC